ACAGGGTTTGGTATTTTACTGTGTATGTTGCAAACTACTGTAGCATTCACTTTGCTTCTTATCTAGGGCTGCATAACATCTCACTTTGTCTTTTCACATCTGCTACAAACCAAAATTTTTATCTTCTGCCTTCATGCTTGTTTGAGTAGCCAGCGGATGTTAGCAGCAGGGTTTTGAGCAAAATGCTCAGCCAAATTCTGCATTTTATGGCCACTGCAACAAGGCAAACCTTTAATACAAGCCTTTTCCAGTACAGCTGAAATACGGCTTCTGTGCAGAGCCCCTGTCTGCTGAGACAGAAAAAGTGGCTGAATTTTTTTCCATGCATTTTGCTGATCCCAAGCTGGCTTGTTGGGGGGGTTGGTGGCTGGCTCTGATCTGGCTGGAGGACCGGAGCAACCCCCAGTATAGGATTAGGAAGTGTGTGAATTGACACATTTATATCCTCTGTTCTGAGAGGCATTTGCAACCAGGCATAGAGGTTTTTACATGTTAAATGTATTTTTAGCAAACTTCTTAAGGTGTTTTTTGCATGACTTCTGCAAATTAGAGTGCAATTAGCTTGTTCCTACTGTTGCCTTATTAATTACCTTGGTGGACTTAAACTGATTGGGGAAGGATGTATTGCAGAGGATTGTCCCATTGTGCCCTTTTTTTTTTTTTTTTTCCCCTGTTTTAAACTGTTCATCAAGTCTCCATCACATTTGATCGTTAATGTTTCAGGAAAATAGTGATGGCTTAGTGCCAGGTTCCTACCTCTGGAGAGTAAAGATGACAATAACTACTTTCTACTCTGAATGACGGTCTGCATTAGGAGCCATTCACTTCAGTGCTAAGTAAATATTCATGAAAATGCCCCCTTCTTAAAACAGCGTCATTTGGAAATAGTTCCCCTACAAATACTGTAGTTTATTTTGTTTGCAGATTGTTTTCTATTATAAACTTCAGTTAGAAAATACAGAATAAATACTATTTGAAAATAAGAGGTAATGAAACAGCAGTATGTTGTTTAAACCACTTGGAATAGCAGGAGTGAGTTTTTGACCATTTTAAATACATTTTTTGTATTATGAGGTAGATTGTATTCACATGTCTGGGATAGATGCTGTTTTAAAACACTAATGATGACGATTAAAGAATGGCGTGATTTAGAAAAGCGTTTGTAATGACATAATTGTGAACTATGAATTTATATGCTTTGAGTTTCATTTCACATAAAAATAAATATAAAAGAAAAAACCCAACCTATTTACCTGAAGTTGCATCTGTGAATTATATTGAAAGAAAACTGTGTAATAAAATAATGTAGAAGCTCTTGAAGGCCTGGCCTGTGCAAGTATGTGGGAATGGTAATCTACATTGCATGAATAATTTTTTTGAATTATTAGAGTGACAAATATTCTCTTATTAGAGTTACTCTTATTGTAGCTATGACAATGTATTTTTAGTATCAACTATTTTTCAAATATATCAAACTAAGCTTTTCATTTACATTTTTTAAAGGTGGTTGGAATACTTCCTGATGAAAAGGTTTGTAGCATGGTTTAGTCTGATGCGAATACACTCATAAATACACAGTTGGGTCGCAAGATGCTTGTTCCTACAGCCAGCACTGTTTATGGGCAGCTGGAGGTGCTTTTCTCTCATGCTATGCTCTTTGTATTTGAAGTCTTATTTTAACTAATCATCCTTAAATAATAATATCTATTTTGGTTACATTCAAGAGTGACTGAGTTATTATCCAGACCATTCTATGGAGATATCTAATTTTAAGATGCTTAGATGTGGTAGAGATGAAACTGCCACATTGACGTCCCGGCCGGCGTGTTTTTCCTCTTAATGGATGTATTTCATATTGTCATTCAAAGGGTTTGAATTACTTGGTGGGCATCGGAGCTTTAATTTCTCTGATATTTCTATGTCGAAGGGCAGAGGCTGTGAATCAGGTGGTTCAGATGTACTCTTAGACTGTAATGATACTATTAAGCTCATGAATTCCCTAAGTTTCATAGAATTGTAGAGTCACAGAATGGTTTGGGTTGGAAGGGACCTTAAAGACCATCTATTTCCAACCCCCCCCACCATGGGCAGGGACACCTTCCACTAGACCAGGTTGCTCCAAGCCCCATCCAGCCTGGCCTCGAACACTTCCAGGGATGGGACAGCCACAGTTTCTCTGGGCAACCTGTTCCAGTGCCTCACCACCCTCACAGTGAAGAACTTCTGCCTTACATCTAACCTAAATCTACCCTCTTTCAGTTTAAAACCATTACCCCTTGTCCTATCACTACACTCCCTGTTAAAGAGTCCCTCCTCATCTTTCCCGTAGACCCCCTTTAGGTACTGGGAGGCTGCTATAAGGTCTCCCTGGAGCCTTCTCTTCTCCAGGCTGAACGACCCCAACTCTCTCAGCCTGTCTTCATAGGAGAGGTTCGTCAGTCCTCTGACCATCTTTGTGGCCCTCCCCTGGACTTGCTCCAACAGGTCCATGTCCTTCTTAACGTTGGGGACCCCAGAGCTGGACGCAGTACTGCAGGTGGGGTCTCATGAGAGCGGAGTAGGATGGGGGGGAATCACCTCCCTCAACCTGCTGGCCACACTTCTTTTGATGCAGCCCAGGGTACAGTTGGCTTTCTGGACTGCAAACACACGTTGCCGGGTCATGTTGAGCTTTTCGTCAACCAACACCCCCGAGTCCTTCTCTGCCGGGCTGCTCTCCTAAGTTCGTTCATGTTGTGTATGTTTTGCTGCTTCTCCCCAAAACAGACTTCTAGTGGATTTTCCTAGCCCCTGTGCTGCTCCTTTGCTGTTGTTTAGACCAAGTTTCCTGGTTCCTTTTCAAATCTTTCCCCGTGCTCGATTCTGACGAGAAAAGCATTGTTTTTTGCTGAGGGCCTCTAAATTAACGGGGGAGGTCTGATTTGAACCACATCTGAATTCCCTCCGGTCTCTTGCAGGTATTCTTACAAACACTCCACTTGAAAGGCTGATTTTATTTTATCAAGGCGAAAGCCTCATTTTGAGCATTGGAATGAAATAAATGGCTGAAATTGTAATGCTAGTTGATATGACTAATGCGAAAGCTTTTATTGTGCTTTCTTCTTTGACAGGCCGTTTGAGTAATGCTAATAATTAGTGCCTTTGTTAGGAGGATTTGGGGGACTTGTGGGGGTGGCTAAGACCAAAAGAGCAGTGTTGAGTCAAGGCATAGCATAGAAAGCGTAGTCTCGCTGTAGCACAGGAGGAGGGAATAAGGAAATAGTGTTATCTGTCATCTGGTCAACGCTACAAATTGCCAGCTTCTTGCATTTCTGAAAGTAAGAAGTAAAACAGATGTAGGTTTTTCTGGTGGTTTTTACTTGCATGCACAAGGAATTGGAGTGACAGTATATGAAGTCAAATGAAATTTCTGAAGAGCAAACGGGTTTTGTAGCGGTCTGAGTCCGTGTCGTCTTGCAGACGGTACTTGCAAAGTCTGGTCTGCTTCCCATCCTGCGCTTCAGCTGGGTCAATACTGATGGACTCTGATGTAAAGCAGCATGTTTTGTTGAAATAACCTCATAACTACCAAAAGCATAAAAAGCATCTTAAATGTTAACGAATTGAATCTGTGCTGCATATAACCTTGGGTTATACTTTAAAAGGACTATAGCACAGTCATAATATCTCCAAGGCTGTCTGGCTGGTTTTGGACTTCTGAAGTCCCAGTTTGACTCCTTTTCAAGAAGACATGATCCATTAATATATCTTTCTTTGAAAACGTTTCATATTCGTATTTCAAAAAGGTAAAACTCTTTTGAATGCATAAGCTCTGCAGGTAGCTGTCATGTGCCTGGGCTATGTTCACATTAGCAAATAGTTCAGCCCACAGAAGCGAAGCTGCAGAGTGAAAAATAAAGGGCCGAGGACCTGGTGTCCAGCCTGTAGGTGTTTTAGGGGCTTTAGTTTTGGTCTACGTCTAGATTTAGCATTCTCAGTTGTTCATTTGCACAAGTTGGTTTATGAGTTTTTTGCGAAATGTCGTAATGTGGGGGTTACGCTGCAGTAGCAGATGGATGAAGTTGAACTTGACAGTCTGAAGGGAAGATGGGAGGGTTTACCTGAGTGTGACTCACTGTGTAGTGGGCACTTTAGTTGTGGAAACTGAAAGAATCTCAGGAAAATCAGGAAAAACACATCAGTGGTTTTGTTGCACATTTTCTGTCATAACATGACAGTGGCAGAGGCACTTGTAGAGATAGCGGGTTGTATTACATACCCATTTGGGTAGTCTCACAGAGAATGCGTGAACTTTGAGTTCTGAAATCTGTATCTTCAGAAACAGCTCCTTCCTTACTCGACTTTGCAAACTGGCTACTAGGAACTCCAGACTTCCAAACTGATGGCGTGCCAAACCAAAACTGCACGTATAATGCTATGCATGCTAATATAACTTCAGAATTTTCCACTGAGTCATCAAAGAAATGAATTAATGGTGGTGGTATTCCTGTAACAGTGGTGACCCCCCTCGTGCATGTGACGGCCCTTGGTATTTGATTAATACTCAAAGAATCAGTGCAGTATTGTGCTTTTGTGTGCTCTACTTTGTATAAATCAATAGAAAATATAATAAACTAAGTTAAAAATCCTTTAACTTCATGTTTGTATTTCCTTTCAGTTTTGTATATGGAAGATATTTCAAGTAGCTATGTTACTCTTTTGTATTATTATAGCTATGAAACTTGTAGCTGAAAGAGGATCTTGCAATCACATGAAATCTATTTATATTTCAATACTTGATGTATCTAAAACTTACTTACAAAAAATAATTACAAGTTAACATTTCTGTAATTTTTTTTACTTCTCTGCAGATGGACTTTATCAGATTTTTAGGGAAAATATTGAAACTTTTTGCCAAGGAAATACTCATTGGGGCACTGTGCGGTTGTGCTAAAGTTCACGTGCTATTAACGAGCTCAGCTGATGGACACTTGTATAAATCTTGTATTTTTTTGCCACAGGTCCAAGGAGCTAATAAAGGAAGCGATCCTTGACAATGACTTCATGAAGAATCTGGAACTGTCTCAGATCCAGGAGATTGTGGATTGTATGTATCCCGTGGAATATGGCAAAGACAGCTGCATCATCAAGGAAGGAGATGTGGGTTCCCTGGTGTATGTCATGGAAGGTACAGTTTAAAAAGCTAGTATTTATTTCCTTTTTTCAACACATACAGAGACAAAAACTTTATTTCATGGGAAAAATCATTTCAAAGAAAGAGGCTAAAGATGTTGTCTAAATATGGTTGTTGAAAAATTGTGTGGACTACTTTTGCCAGGAAAATTTCTGACTAGTGTGCCTCCCTATATAAAGAAAGAGGGTGAAAGCTGTTAACCTTGCACTGAGATCCGTTGGAATAAACCTCCACTAAATATAGTTCTTTGGCTTTGAGGCAATATCAATGGTTTGCTATTTAAATTAGGAACTTAACAGAAAGAATGGTGTTATGGAAATGGGACATCACTGTAAAGCAAGGAGAATATGGTCATAGCTTGCTACCTTATAGGGCATTGTGGGGACAAGCTTATAAATGTTGATAAAGCACATGGGGATCTCCGCAGAAGCAATGCGTTGTGTAATAGAAAATGGTATTTTTCTGTCCTGTACACAAAATAAGTGTAGCATCTGCAGTTTACCACATCTGATTTGTCACAGGATGTGTTGTGGCAGGGTTTTGTTTTCTTGGTGGAACACAAGAGCAGTGGATATTCTGCTGTTCTTGGGAGCTGTCAGGTTTCTGAAAATCTTTGAATGGGATCAGTGTTGCCAGTGCTGTGTTTCTCCAAAATGTCAGCTATTTGCATTTTGTATCTTACTCTTTCCAAGTTCTCTAACTCTTCACATGTCAAATTGGGCATATTTTATATATATGTTTTCTTTTTAAAGGAAGTGTATGTTCATCTGTAGGAGTTCCTAAGCTTGATCAAATCTCGTGTCCATCTACTACAGCGTCCCTCTTCTGAGAGTGACTGATAATGAGTTTTGAGACAAATGTCACTGTTTTATTCAGCTAACGCAACAAGCAAATTCTCAGTTTGATTTGGTACAATGCAAATGGATAGATGCTTATTAAATTCTTCTTGCTCCTTACCAGAGCCATCTGGTAGACTTGCAAGCATTTTGGCCAGATAACACCTAAGGGGAATGGAGGTTTCTTGCTTGCCCATGTCTTTTGAGCAAATATGGGAAAACTACAAGTTATGTGTAAGTTGTGTGTTTATATGTACGTGCACATGCACAAATTCATTTCTTATATTGTTCTTTTAAACAAAAATATTTTCAAGGCAGTAAGCCATCCTTTAAACATTGTTTCCTCCCAAACTCTTAATGCTGTATAGTTGCAAATGCTCTTCACTAGTTTCCCAAAACAGCCTTAATGTTCTGTCCTTTTAAGGTTAAGTCCTTTCCCGAGGCACAGGTTTAATTCCTTCAGCTTTTATTATTTTTAAATTTTGCACATTCGAATGGTATTTTGCATTATGAAGTGGTTAGTGGGGGATGCCAAAGCAAATTACGTGTTTCCAGCCCCAGCTGGAAAGGTCTTTCAATCCTCCACTTGCACACAGAGACTACTTTGATGAGGTACAGGATGTGTTCTATCAATAATAAAAAACTGCTTTAAAATAATATTTGAATGGTAATTTTTTTCATAGTAAAAACGTGGAGATTTTTTACAGCACAGCTCTGTGCTTGCTTCCTGAAACACCACCACATCAGAGGCATGCTCACAGTATTTTTGCTGCGTGGCTGGTTTTGGAGTTGTGTTCAATATTGTCCCTTGAAAAACCCCATAACAACAAGACACCATCAAAATCAGCATATACTTATCTCCTGCCCAGCCTCTCCACATTCTTTGGAGAGGATTTTGGGGGGATTTATGGGTAGAACTGTTTCCACCACGGTTTGGAGTATTGAACATGGCTTGGTACTCAGATGACCCTTTATTTGATACATCTAGTGATGATGTGCTATTACTGTCCCTTCCTTGAATTTACCAGATGTTTCTAATTCTTGATCCAAACTCTATCCCTGAATTCTTGATTCTTGTCTTCTAAAACAAATGTGTGTCAAAGACAACTTTTGTGTCTTTTGGGCAGTTTAGCTTATCCTTGCTCTTCTGGCAGCCCTCTATGTATGAGGGCATGACTTGGCTCTCCCCCAGTCTTTGGTTTGTCTTGTAACTTAATTTAAGATTATTTAGATAGCTCTGTAAATATGCATAATGCTTTACAAACACAATTATGAAGAGTTTATACTCTGTGTTTAGACATAATGCAATGAGTGATGGTAAAGTAATGGAAATGGAAGAAGACATTATCAAATGGGTTGGATTATAGTTATGAGAACAGGCTTGCTAGCTTATTTTGGCTTATCATTCTGTGTCCTCTCCATTATTCCCCCCCCCCCCCCCCCCCCCCCCCAATGCCCTCTAACTATATTGTTTACAAAACTCTACTGGAGAAACCCGTCTTTGTGAGTATTACTGAGAGGTAGTTTCTTTTCTCAAAAATCAAATAAACGCTGCAAGTGCTTCTTCCATTAATTCCTCTTTCTTTCCTTACTTGGACTTCTAGCTGTGATTAAGATGAATAAAAATTACTCATGTAGAGCATTTGATAACCAATACTCTTATGCTTGTTTATAATTTATGATTCAGCATTTAGATAGAGCCTCCTACCAGAAGTCTGAGTTATATATTGGTGATGTTTCCTTAGACTAATTTTAAATAATAATTTAAGTAAGATGGATTTGAAAACATCCATCATTTTCACTGTTACTTTCTGTGTTCTCGTTTATCAGGGTGAAGCAGTAGTTAGTGTCTGTTTTAATTTTCCCCTCTAGACACAAGGACTCTACTAGTCCTGGTGAGACCTTTATAATTATGATCATTGAGTATTTTGGTTCTTTACCATGAATGTTAAAATTTGTAGGTATGTGATGCTTGCTGAGCTCAATGAATCTTAAAAGGCTGGATAATGATGGGTGTTGACCTCCAAACTCTTTCTTTTTCACTATGGCTTGATGATGCTTTCTGAAGGTAATTCCAGGTTTGCTATGTTCCTTGGGTGGGAGTGGCTGTAGCATTGTACCTCAGCAAAGAGTTAGGAAAAGGCTTGACTCCACTTTTCCATGTTCTCTTTGGTTCTAGCAGAAAGGTAATTTCATGCTGTCCAATATTGTGTTTACATGTGCAGTCATCTTTATTCCTGCATTTGCTCAACCCTACCCACACTAATAGGCTTGACTCTTTCCTCTCCAGTCACGTGCTACCATGCATGCGATGACTGAGTAAAACCTTTGTACTCTTTGTCCTATTATTCCATGTTTTACATCAGATTTCCTGCCCTGTATTTTTTTTTGTTATCAGGAGTGAGAGCAGCAATGGTATAAACAGGTTGGACTCTAGAGATGAAAAGTTGGTTAATACAGTGAAGCTTGAGAAAAGACTGAGGTTATTGAAAACACGAGAAGAAAATCTTTCATACATTCTATTATTCAACCTATTATGTGTCAAACTTCAAACCTGGGCAGGGAGAAGTGAAACACAGTACAGAAAAATAGGAGGATACTGTAAATTGTGATTTGGATGGGGAGAGGAGGAAGCTGAGGGGAAAGGTCTTGGAGTAGAAATGGTGAGGTACTATCAGGGAAATCAAAATGAGTTGCTGAGTTCAAAAGGAAGATGTTTTCTCTATCTGCAGCATGCTGGGTAGAGGCAAATGTTGAGTTTGAAAGGTAGGAGTGTGCCTCTGGCATGTGTCGTGGTTTAGCTGGATTGGGTTTGTTCGTCAGTCCCAAGAGGAGAGAGATACCTGTCAGATTGAGGAGCTCTCAATATAAACACCCTCTGGCCTGAACATGCACTGATCTGGAACCTCACTTTTAAGGGTGTTTGCATAGGATAGCTCTTAAATTGTGCAAGGCTAAGGGAGATGTGTGGTTAGTCTCACCCTTTAAACCCAGAATTGCTAATATGCTCAATAACCTTTAAAAGAGGAGGCTGCCCCAGTCCTGGTAGACTTCCCTCTCCTGGGTGTGCATCTGGACTTTTTGAACTGGTGCTGCATTTCTTGAATCCAAAAAGTTTTATGCAAAGAGTTTGGGTTGTTGTGTTTTTGTTTTGTTTTGTTTTGTTTTGTTTTTTGTGTGGTTTGTGGTTTTGGTTTTTGGGTTTTTTTTTTAAGCTTTATTTTTTTTCTGTTTTTTTCTTTTTTCTTTAGGTAGGATTTAACTGGAAACTTACCTGGTTTTCTGGTGGGCTTCTGCCTGGTCTTTCATAAGATACAGTCCTGAGGAGCTACAGAATGAGAGTTGTGCTTGTTGGAGATCCCTTCTGGGTCCCTATCTCCAGGACAGCCTTGCTGCACTGAGGCAGGCAGGGTCCTAGGCATGAACACCCAAGGACTGCTGTTTCTACCAGGTCTGAAGCCTTGGAAATATTGGTTTGGGGTGAACTTGGGCTCTTGTTCCTCTTTGAGCCAGTAGTGAGAAAACAGCTATAAGCCAGGAGCTGAAACGGAAATTTCTCAGCAAGCAGAATCCCAATTTAGGGCTGCTTTGCTTTTAATAAGTTTAATAAGCTTTTTTTTGTTCTGGGCTGACTCTAGCCATAGTCTGTGTCTTGCTGGCCAGATTTCTACCTCCAGGAAAATAAGGGCCCCCAGTTCACCTGCTTCAGACTTCTAGGACTACTGCTGGCCCCACCATATCCAAGTCTTTAAAACACTTTATTTGTCTAGCTTCATCCTGGCTGTACCGTTACTTAGTTTAGTCCTCTGGGGTAACTGGGTCTGATGGATTTGTGGCACAGACCACCTTTGAAATGCCTTATGTGTTAAATGCGGATAGTCAAGGATACATTTGTTCAGATAATAAAATTCATTAGGTTGATGCCAATGTATTTCTTCCAGAGAGGAGGGAAACCCTAATAGGAGGCACCGCCAGTGAGGCACAACACCCTGAAGGGCTCCAGAAAAGGCACTATTAGATAGGTGCCAGGGTGGGAGAGAAAGTAGCATCGCAATCGGAGCCCAATGAAAAGAGATCTCTTTACGGCTTTACACCTTACCTGACCTCAGGCAGGGTTTTTGCTCTTTACAGACTATTCTTTGCATTTTAAATGTTTGT